TTCTCCATATCAGCGCGTGTCTTATTGTGAAAGAGATACATTCTGGTCATGTAGAGTAGTCAATAAACATCTATACCGTGAGAAGCGGTCAGCTACTCAACCAGTTTGTCATTACAGATTACAGATGTTTTTGTGTCTGATTCCCTCTCTCTTACTTTCATTAAGTCGCGACGAACTGAATGCGATGAATTGAATAGGCGACGAATTGAGCGACGACGAAATGAGCGCGACGAAATGAGTGGCGATGAATTGATCGGTCACCATTTAACTTTAACGTTTCCTCTTAAAACTTCTTCCTTTGTAATATTTGAATATAATGAAAGTAAAAGATAAAAATATAAAATTTCTATACATGAAACGTAGAAATATCAAGTTAAATTTTATTTCTCCATATTTTATTCTCAGATACACTTTTATTCACAAAAATAAATGAATATAATTTTCATATTTAAATTTCAAAAGATCTACATTTAGAAGTTTTAATAGAAAAATGAAGATTGTTTATTTGAATCAAATCAGATAAACACACATTATTAATTAATTCTACAAAAATTCAAAATGAAAATATTTTATTCTTTTTTCAATTATAAAAATAAACATATAAAATCTTTTGTATTTTATTAAAGTTCATTGACTTGATATGAAAGAATATTCTTCGAAGTTTCTTTTGATTTCTGTGATATTTAATTATTTTCTTGAGAATTTCAATGAGATGAATCAAATTTATTCTCCTTTTTCCTAAATTTCACATTCATTTTTAGAATTCAAATATTTTCTTATAAATTAATGTCAAAATTATCATTAATAAAAGAAATAAAAAGAATAATTATTTGAAGAATTTTAAAGAAATAATTTCTCATAAAAGTGTTTATTCATTAAAATCTAAAATATTTTTGTGAAATTTAAATAAATAAAATGCTTTGATTTATCATCAAATAAGAAAATCATTAATTATGTCTAATTCTTCTTTTAAACATCGATCAATTTGAATTGAGATAAATGTTAAATTATAAGAACAGAGGAATTAATTCATTTACAGAACATTTGACTATTTTTTCAATATTTAATAAAATTGATTTGAATTCATAGAAAATCAAATGATCAAAGATATTTACTTAATTTTTATTGAAATATTTGTGTATTTCATAATAATTAAACCAATGTATGAAAAAAGAGACTTAATTTAATTCTTAATTATATCAATTAAGTTCACATTTCGAATATTTTTTCTCAAATGAAAAGTGATGAAATAAATAGAAATCATCAATATTTGACAAATGAAGAATTCTTTTTGTGACGAATTGTTTGCATTCGCATCTTTCTTATGCATTCACTTCATCTTTTCTTATTTTTATGTAATGTGCGCATTTCTTCTTTCACGGTAGTTTACATCTGAATCCTTTATCAGATGATCAGATATGATATGATGTTACGTGTTCCGAGATCTATATAAACGATGAGGAATATGTAGTAAAGTAGTCTTCTTTTCCTTCATTCAATGAAAAGAAAAAAAGATTTTCTCCGATTTTAATTGATGAGATTTGCTTCTGATGAAACTTTTCGAAGCCTTTTCTTCTTTATTTGAACAAAATGAAACGATGACAAATTTAACTTTCGATTTGTTGTTTGAAGATCACTTCCAACGATGATTAAAATCTCTCATTTGACGTTCTTTTGTCACTTTGAAATAATTTCAATTTGAATTTCTTCAAGAAATTCTTTTCATCGTATTTATTAATTGATCAATAAATCAACATCGAAGAAAAGATTTCTCATTGTGAAAATGAGAAAACGAACATGAGATAATCTCTGCATTTACAATGAAAAATAAGTTGAGAAGAGAAAAATCGAATTGATGTGTTGATGATAAGATGAACTTCTTTTTTTTTTCGTGTATTGCTAATCATTACTTATTTATTGTTGAAAGGAAATGAGTTGAAATTTACATTAAACAACCTTGCGCGAAGAAGAGTAGAGAAAGAGAGAGAGGCAGAGGTAGGGATGAGCAAGGACTATTTGTCCCTTTTGCTCCAAAAAAAAACCATTTGGAGAGACGACAGTTGTCGATTTGTGATTTGTGCTTAATTGAAATTGAAGGCCAGGTCGAGGAGACTTTTCGCATTCGATACTAACAGGTTCTTGATTCTGTTTGGGGTTCTTCCATTTGGGACAATCAATTGTTTCTTGGCGCGTAGAGCCGGATTCTGGTAATATTCGCGCAAGTAGAGCAGGTGCATTTGGTGTTGTAGATGTTCGACTACGATGTCTGGGTTTGTGCGAAGAATCGTATCCAGTTGGTTGTTGAAGTGGCTCTTGGTGAGCGAACCGATGGATTTATATTGCTTCACGTTCGTCACTTCATAGATTGTTGCGTCGTGCCAACCCAAAGTGATGCGGAACATCCTTCGGTTGAAAGCTTCGAGCTGCTCCTGTTTTGTGCGGGATAAGATTGGGTAGATGTTCAGTAGCGATTGGTAGTGCGGTCGGACGAAGGCATGAAACAGCTTGAAGGCGATCGGTTCCGTGAGCATACGATTTCTGGATAGATGCCTGAAGATCGATATATTTCTGTTGATCTTTGCTTTCGTGAGTTCAATATGTTGTGTGAAAGCCAGTCTTGCGTCGAGGGTAACACCTAGGTACTTGAACTTGGGTATTTGTTCGATTTTGTGATTGCCACAATAGACCGTTGGGATTTTTGGAGATATTTGGCGGTGGAAAAGCGTCCAGCACGTTTTCTTTAGGTTCATGGGTTGTTTCCACTCGATGGAGTACCTGTGCAGGCTGTTGATCGTTCTTTCCACCTGCTTGGCCAGTCGGATATTTGTGACTTTCGAGGACCAATACGGGGAGGGTGAGAAAATCACGGCCATGTCGTCCGCGTAAAGATGCTTGGAGTGTACGCTGTCTACTGCGTTCACTAGATCGTGGTGGAAGAGAATAAAGAGAACCGGGCCAATGCATGAGCCTTGCGGTACGCCTTTGTGCTGTAGGAACGTCCTTGATTGATGTCCCTTTATTTCGATGAAAGCGTTCCGTTCGTGGAGGTAGTTTCTGAGCCATGCGTGTAGTTCAGTCGGACAGTTCAGTCTATGTAATTTCAGCCATAGACCGCCTATCCAAAGCTGATTAAACGCGGCTTTGTAATCGATGAAGAGCGCGGCAGCAGCCGTGTTAAGCGAGAGGCAAAATCAAATACGATTGATTACACACGTTTGTTATTTATCATTCCAAAAGATTATTCAGTCAACCAATTAACGAGTTCGACATCGGATGATTGTTTACGGTACCGATAATTCCTCCTTTGAATCTTCCTTCGGTAATTAACTGATTGACTAAACTATCACAAATCGAAACATCATCGATGTATCAATCGTCACTGATGTAACCATCCAATTAAAACTACAACATGAATAACTGGAAACTCCATTTGAGAATGTCTTTAATACAACTAGACCTGCGAGAGATTCAATTGCTGCAACACATGAATCTGGAATTGAAACATGAAAAGCTTTTTTATTGGTATAGTTTTTTCAAAGAAAGACTTTGTTGACTTATGATAGTTGTAGTAGTTGATCGGATAGAGTTTGTACTACTTGAACTGGACGCTGAAATAAAAAATTTGAACAAAAAGAATATCAAACACAATCAAATCAAATAGATAATTGAATCTGGTTATTTGTTGTTGCAACTATCAAATATAAATAATAGAAAGAATGTGAACTAATTAATATCCTATCGAACTTGTATTCGTGGTTCTTGTCGATGTAAGGTGCTGAATAACGTATAAATAAGTTTTCATACAGATAGAAAGCAGATTTTGAAGAACTTTTTGACACTATGATATTGTTTAAAAGAAAACTAATGGAAAGAATTTTTAAAATAAGCTTTTACTTAGGTTAGTTATTACACCCTGAAGCAATGAAACCTTAAGCAACTGCTCTACCAAAATATGCTCCAGCCAACAACGTGAAGAATATATACAAAATCTATGGAAAAGTTCAAATTTAATAGATTGTCGTTCGAAAGGACTGACTTTCAAAGTTTTGTTTTCTTCTGAAAAACGATATTACTTTCTTCAATCGAAAAAACTTTTGAAGATGATTATTTGTGTAAAACAAACTAAAATTACAGAAAGTAATTACTATTGTGAAATCCGATACATTCTCTTGATGATTTATGTATCTCAGATGAACAATTCTGTTGTTCGACATTCTTTCCTGAATTGTGTTATGACCATCATCGTCTCTTCTTTACTTATACTTGGATCAGTGTTGACATTGATTTATTTGAAAATTAAGACCAAAAACTACCAACGCTTTATTAGCGCTTCTCTCATTTATGTCATATTTATATACATCGGTTCTTTCATCTAATAAAAAGTACGAAACGAAGACTTAAAAGTGACTTTTTTTGTTTTCTTTTCATAGGACAAAAATGCGTTGTAGACGAACGTTTTTTATTAATACAAATACGTTTTGTTTTACATAAATTTTGAGAACTGTCGCTCTGTACGAATCTTTATAAATTCTTTTGACGAATCCTTCGCGATTCACGGGTGAGAGTGTGAAGGATTGATTCGATTTGATCGAGAGAGATGTTGTGGATTGGTTCGTGGAACTTGATTCATCCGTTGTCTCGGAATAATTAATGCAAACAATTCACGACGAAAACTCGGTGCTGTTAACGTATAAATATAAAAAGTCATCTAAAATTCTCATCAACAATCAAATCAAAATCAGTTAATAACAAAAAAGAATTCTTACAGCATTGAAGACATAAGTTCCGAACGCACCGGTTGCCACTATAGCTAAACCTTCCGCAGCATTTCGATAAGGTGTTCTCATCGATGGCGGATCATATTGTGTTATTGATAAATAAACAAAATTACATACAAATGGCAGTGCGGTGACAATGTACAAAACCACTTGTCCAATCAGCATTGCAGAGAGCTGGACATCTCGTTTGCGCACATGAACCTGAAACATCGTCGTTAGACAATCCAATCGATTCAACAAAACTCACTCTTTGTTGAGCAAATCGTTGAGAATTTTGTTTTAATCTCCATATAATCAACCCGCTAAGCGAACTCATCGATAACGCTGGAATTCCAAAATTAAACACAAACAAAACCGTTGTATCAATAATTCTTCCAATCGCAGAGTTCAACGTACAATTAAATGCTGAATTAGGTTCATAAACAATAAGAGTATAGATTGACAAACAAAGACATATCAATATAATAAGAAAAATCACTTTCAGTGCAATTTTCCTTTGACAAAACGATCGATATCGAACATTTGGCGAACATAAAAGAAATCGATCAAGACATGCCATGACAACACAACCTCGACTAATCAATTGACACGCTGTTAAAAGGTAATATCGGGTTTTACAAAGAATCGAATTGTAACCTATTGGATAA